AGAGACCAAGTTATTTGTTTGAAGTGAAAGGGACAAGAAGAATGAGAGTACAGAGTATAAGAAATATATGTTTCTTTTTTTTAAAAATATAGGTTTGAGGATTATGTTGTGCATCTATAAAGAGAGATTACTATGGCAGGACTTTGTGTTAGACAATGGCTGTTTGGTCTAGAACTGAATATTTAAAGATATACTAAAAGTAAGAATTTTTAAAAATTATGTGTGATAGGATGGGGTCATTTTCATTGAAGAAGGTGTTGAAGGTATAAGTATATAGATATCATGTGCATGCGAAAGTAAAAAGACAGTTCTGAGAATAGTAGTATATGTCACTTCAGATATAAAAGAATAGAGTATATGGGTTCCGAGTGCTGAAGTTTGATTATATGGTTATTATTTTTATTTTTATTTTTCAGTAGTGATAAAATAAGAAAGATAGTATGATTGGTATTGTCGACTTTGAAAGCAGTGCGAGGTTGTTGTTGGTACAGGGTTGAAAAAAGAAAAGAATAGAGTGGCGATGACTGTCGACTTTGAACGCAGTGCGAAGTTGTTGTTGGTACAGGGTTGAAAAAAGAAAAGAATAGAGTGGCGATGACTGTCGACTTTGAACGCAGTGCGAAGTTGTTGTTGGTACAGGGTTGAAAAAAGAAAAGAATAGAGTGGCGATGACTGTCGACTTTGAGAGCAGTGCGAAGTTGTTGTTAGTACAGGGTTGAAAAAAGAAAACAATAGAGTGGCGATGACTGTCGCCTTTGAACGCAGTGCGAAGTTGTTGTTGGTACAGGGTTGAAAAAAGAAAACAATAGAGTGGCGATGACTGTCGCCTTTGAGAGCAGTGCGAAGTTGTTGTTAGTACAGGGTTGAAAAAAGAAAACAATAGAGTGGCGATGACTGTCGCCTTTGAACGCAGTGCGAAGTTGTTGTTGGTACAGGGTTGAAAAAAGAAAAGAATAGAGTGGCGATGACTGTCGCCTTTGAACGCAGTGCGAAGTTGTTGTTGGTACAGGGTTGAAAAAAGAAAACAATAGAGTGGCGATGACTGTCGCCTTTGAGAGCAGTGCGAAGCTTATAGGGACACGAAGGTTTGACCAAGGGCTTATTTTTTGTTAGAGCCGCATATACAGTGAACAGTCGTCAAAAAGATAAAATAAAGAGTATTTCATTTTTTATTTTATTTTTCAAAAGAGTGCGCTTCCTTTTCGTATTGCGTCGCTTTTGGTCCACTTTGAGTTGCAATACAATATGAATGACGATCCTCAACAGGAATGAAGATCCTCGACTGGGATGGCGGAATGTCGAAAGAAGATTCAAGCCATCGTTAAAATTTTTTTTTTGTTTTGGTTACAGCACAGTGAAGGGGTTTTGAATACATAGTCCTCTCTCAACGATTGTAAGTGAGTACCATACGGTCTTTAAACCTTCGTATGGGTAACAGTATCCCTGTCAATGGACCCTGCTATGATTCTTTCACTTGTGGGTACACAAAGGGTGTCTGCACCACCGATCAGTAATACCAGTTTACAAAAAAGTGCGTGCTGTCCGAATTGTCGATTAGAACCCTTAGTTTGTAAAAAGATATAAAAAGAAATAGACAATATCGTATATATTGTACCAGTGCAGCCAATTGACTGGTAGACAGATCCCCAAGTGTGTGCGTGTGTATTAAAGAGGGAAAAAAGGTAGGTGTAAGAGCTCATCTGAAATATACTAACAGATTATATATATATAGTCCTAGAGTAACTTTTAGTATATGAACACAATTCATTTTAAAATAATTTGATAATATATAGATATATATCAACTTGGATTAGACTTATAAATAAAAAGAAAATAAGAGATAAAGCGAATTAAAGGAAGTAGAGTGTTAATTGATCCATAAATATCCAGTGGATCAAACTGTTATAAAGATGTATTAAACCCCATATTGTTGCTTATAGCTCGGATCGGATTTAATTTTAATCAAAATCTTTTGCAGCCGAAATATATATATTCTTGCACAGAACTATTTAATAAACTGCTTGAGAAGTATATGGTACAAGCCAAAGATATCTATTTGTTTAAGTTGCTGTTTAAATAGTTTTAAATAAGAGTATATTTGAAAAATTGAATAGGAAATAAATGATACAAGCTATAGACATATTTCAGTCGAGTTACTATTTAAAAAATCGCAAAGAAATATATAATTATTGAATATAATAGTACCAGCCTTTTTCATTATTAAAATAAAGCCTTTTGGAATTAGATAAAAATAAGATATTGGAATTCATTATATATACTAATATATTAATATGAAATATCAAAAGGCTTGATTATTTGCACGAACAAAGATATAAACCAAAAAACACAAGCTATTAGTTAACTGTAGAGTATCGTGTATAAAGTATCAAAGTGCTTTGCTTTCTATTTTTGGTTGGTTTATTTTGATTTTCATATGATTCTATACTTTTTTTAGACAAAACAAACAAACTTACTTGGGCGGTTACCCAGGCTTTTTTTTTACGATAAACCTGTTATTTCATGCATGACCATCGCATCCGCACTACGGATGCGTTATTGGAATCGCATCCGCACTACGGATGCGTTATTAGAATCGCATCCGCACTACGGATGCGAAAACTTTATCTTTACCTTATTACTTTAGAGAAACCTTTGGATTACCAAATGCATTACCTCAAAACTATAAATGATTATAGTTTTTGCGATTTGTTAGAAAATAAACTTTTCCTCTCCCATATGACCACTGGTTATGGCACCCCCCACCCACAACGCCCCCTTTTCTCTCACACCTCAACTACAGACACAAATATGCCTCGGCTGCATACACACACTTTAAATATATCTATCTCAACTACCCACACACCGACTACCCACACATCGACTACTCACACATCGACTACTCACACATCGACTACTCACACATCGACTACTCACACATCGACTACCCACACACACATCTCTCTTATAATAAATTCATAACCTATATAAACATATAATAAATAATAAATCATATTTTATTTTAGTTATTTAAAGATATTAAAATAAATAAGATATGCGAGTAGGGAGAGACCAAGTTAATTTGTTTGAAGTGAAAGGGACAAGAAGAATGAGAGTACAGAGTATAAGAAATATATGTTTCTTTTTTTTAAAAATATAGGTTTGAGGATTATGTTGTGCATCTATAAAGAGAGATTACTATGGCAGGACTTTGTGTTAGACAATGGCTGTTTGGTCTAGAACTGAATATTTAAAGATATACTAAAAGTAAGAATTTTTAAAAATTATGTGTGATAGGATGGGGTCATTTTCATTGAAGAAGGTGTTGAAGGTATAAGTATATAGATATCATGTGCATGCGAAAGTAAAAAGACAGTTCTGAGAATAGTAGTATATGTCACTTCAGATATAAAAGAATAGAGTATATGGGTTCCGAGTGCTGAAGTTTGATTATATGGTTATTATTTTTATTTTTATTTTTCAGTAGTGATAAAATAAGAAAGATAGTATGATTGGTATTGTCGACTTTGAAAGCAGTGCGAGGTTGTTGTTGGTACAGGGTTGAAAAAAGAAAAGAATAGAGTGGCGATGACTGTCGACTTTGAACGCAGTGCGAAGTTGTTGTTGGTACAGGGTTGAAAAAAGAAAAGAATAGAGTGGCGATGACTGTCGACTTTGAACGCAGTGCGAAGTTGTTGTTGGTACAGGGTTGAAAAAAGAAAAGAATAGAGTGGCGATGACTGTCGACTTTGAGAGCAGTGCGAAGTTGTTGTTAGTACAGGGTTGAAAAAAGAAAACAATAGAGTGGCGATGACTGTCGCCTTTGAACGCAGTGCGAAGTTGTTGTTGGTACAGGGTTGAAAAAAGAAAACAATAGAGTGGCGATGACTGTCGCCTTTGAGAGCAGTGCGAAGTTGTTGTTAGTACAGGGTTGAAAAAAGAAAACAATAGAGTGGCGATGACTGTCGACTTTGAACGCAGTGCGAAGTTGTTGTTGGTACAGGGTTGAAAAAAGAAAAGAATAGAGTGGCGATGACTGTCGCCTTTGAACGCAGTGCGAAGTTGTTGTTGGTACAGGGTTGAAAAAAGAAAACAATAGAGTGGCGATGACTGTCGCCTTTGAGAGCAGTGCGAAGCTTATAGGGACACGAAGGTTTGACCAAGGGCTTATTTTTTGTTAGAGCCGCATATACAGTGAACAGTCGTCAAAAAGATAAAATAAAGAGTATTTCATTTTTTATTTTATTTTTCAAAAGAGTGCGCTTCCTTTTCGTATTGCGTCGCTTTTGGTCCACTTTGAGTTGCAATACAATATGAATGACGATCCTCAACAGGAATGAAGATCCTCGACTGGGATGGCGGAATGTCGAAAGAAGATTCAAGCCATCGTTAAAATTTTTTTTTTGTTTTGGTTACAGCACAGTGAAGGGGTTTTGAATACATAGTCCTCTCTCAACGATTGTAAGTGAGTACCATACGGTCTTTAAACCTTCGTATGGGTAACAGTATCCCTGTCAATGGACCCTGCTATGATTCTTTCACTTGTGGGTACACAAAGGGTGTCTGCACCACCGATCAGTAATACCAGTTTACAAAAAAGTGCGTGCTGTCCGAATTGTCGATTAGAATCCTTAGTTTGTAAAAAGATATAAAAAGAAATAGACAATATCGTATATATTGTACCAGTGCAGCCAATTGACTGGTAGACAGATCCCCAAGTGTGTGCGTGTGTATTAAAGAGGGAAAAAAGGTAGGTGTAAGAGCTCATCTGAAATATACTAACAGATTATATATATATAGTCCTAGAGTAACTTTTAGTATATGAACACAATTCATTTTAAAATAATTTGATAATATATAGATATATATCAACTTGGATTAGACTTATAAATAAAAAGAAAATAAGAGATAAAGCGAATTAAAGGAAGTAGAGTGTTAATTGATCCATAAATATCCAGTGGATCAAACTGTTATAAAGATGTATTAAACCCCATATTGTTGCTTATAGCTCGGATCGGATTTAATTTTAATCAAAATCTTTTGCAGCCGAAATATATATATATTCTTGCACAGAACTATTTAATAAACTGCTTGAGAAGTATATGGTACAAGCCAAAGATATCTATTTGTTTAAGTTGCTGTTTAAATAGTTTTAAATAAGAGTATATTTGAAAAATTGAACGGGAAATAAATGATACAAGCTATAGACATATTTCAGTCGAGTTACTATTTAAATAATCGCAAAGAAATATATAATTATTGAATATAATAGTACCAGCCTTTTTCATTATTAAAATAAAGCCTTTTGGAATTAGATCAAAATAAGATATTGGAATTCATTATATATACTAATATATTAATATGAGATATCAAAAGGCTTGATTATTTGCACGAACAAAGATATAAACCAAAAAATTCAAGCTATTAGCTATGCTAATATTAGACGGACGGAATTTCCTGATGGGACACGACATTTTAATTCTACCGGACCACAAATCGTAACCTTTCTGCTGGCACGGAATAAGTTTATCTGGTTCCTAAGGGTTTATTCTTATTATAGCAGTTCATACCAGCCGGTATACAGAATTTTTGTATAGAGACTTTGTTTTGTGCTTTGATGAAAAATGAAGGGATGAGTTGAGGTTACTTACCAGTTGGTGCTGTCAAACTCTGGGAACATTTATGTGAAAGAAATGAAAGACAAGATATGCGTAAGATAGCCAATGAATAGTGAAACATTCTACTGAATTGTGTCACGCTTCAATTAAATCAACTTATACTGGTCTGCCTGATTGGCTATTGATATAGTGTATGTGTGAATAATTATTATGATTTATTTCTTGTAAGGTCTAGATTTAGGACGCAAACATCTAGGAATTGAATATAAAGTATTTGGTTTTTTTATGAGACAATATTTTATTTTTAAGTTGCCCAAGTACAGGCTGTGGCTCTTAAAATAATGAGTTTCAGGTGGCTGGGGGAGAGATAGACGAACACAAAGTGTGGGGACAAAGTAGTAAAGCTAACGCATACAATGAATATATTGTGTTTTATTTTCAGGACATGCTATTTCGCCCCGAAGGATTAGAGAAAGATACCGGGTCCCGGAGATGTAGTCACAATTGATTAGTCTGACCAAATATAAATATCGTGTCCTACCAGGAAACGTTGTGCCCGTAAGATTTCTGTTTAATATAAATATATATTATGAAAATAAAAGTACGGCTAAGAGAGCCAATATCACATCAGAAGTCGGTAGAGAGCCAACAACGATTGTATTGGGAACAGCACACAATTTGAATTTTCCGAATATAGTATCAATCCTGCAAAGATATTAGTGAGTAGCGCTTTGGTGCTGTTAATCGATAGGGTACTTGTAAGAGACAAAGTAACTGATTGCGATACTACTGCGAGGAGGGACGTTCAAGTTGGATAGTCTTTATGTCCGGGATACTAGCTAGCCCAGTTTCTATATCCTTAATGGAGGCGTGGTAACAAGGGACGGTAAACTACTTCAAGAGGATATATTCTCGAGACAATAGATGTACACTCCAATAGTTAGGATGAGTCAAATAGTATATAGTTGACTAGGCGTATGGGGATGAGAATCAGCTTCAAAATAAGAAAGTGGGTAAAAGTGTTTTTAAAGAGGTAAAAAAGAGATATTTTATTAATCTTCACTAGACTTCCTCTCGCTCTTTCCCTCTACACTTTACACTATGACAAAAAAGAAGGGTCAGTATTGGAGTCACTTTAAAGGCCCTTTTTCGATTTGGCCCCTGTTCTAACCCTTTACTTTTATAGAAGACTATGTGTCTCCGATATATCACGGAAACACACATTGGATAGAGCGTAATGTAATTGTTAAAGACTGTGTGGTTGACGTCAATGTTTAAATCCACTAAACTATTGCTAATGTGAGATTCTAGACCTTTTTTATTTATTTTAAAAAATGAAATAAGGTACCGATTTATGTGTGGATTCATTCCTGGTTAACAGCATGCATGCGTTAATAAACAAAGCTAGCTGAATAAAATAAAATAAGATAGAATAAAATAAAATAAAATAAAGAAAGGCCTAAGTTATGGTTAAAATATAGGAAAGCATGGCATTGCATATCATATCATAGCATATCATATCATATAATAGCATATCATATCATATAATAGCATAACATAGCATATAATAGCATAACATAGCATAGCATAGTGTAGTGTAGTGTAGTGTAGGAACGTATGGCAAATATGACTAAAACTGTAATAGAGAAAAATGATCTTATATGTTGACCCAACAACCTCTCTTTAAAATCCAAGAAGTACATGGAATATTTAGCTTACATTCAATATATATATAGAAAATACCAGTACTTATTCTCTCTTTATTTGTTGCTATTGTTCGTGACCCACGTCTGTGTGTATTTTAATGTCATTATTATCATTATCATAAAAGGGTTTTCTTAAAGTTTTGTTCCTAGCCAAGCATTGCATTAAGCAAAACACAGTAAACACTGAAATATTCAAAATGAAGAACAAAACTGACTAAACTAAACTAAACTAAACTAAACTAATTTTTTTTTAATATTAAAGAAAAGAAAAACATTTGAACAGAATATAAATAAATTTTATATTCATATATCGACTATTGACGAAAGAGCTACTTGATGTCCTGTATGCCGAGACAATGGAGTATCTATAGATTGATCAGATACGAAATACAAGACAAGACAATATGCTACTAAAAGCAAGGCTTTTTGTTCACAATTTAACATAATCATACATACATACATACATACATACATACATATATATATATATATATATATGTGTGTGTGTGTTTGTGTTTGTGTTTGTGTCTGTGTCTGTGTTTGTGTTTCACCTGTCTCTTAATTACCAAATAGAGTAGGGTACGCAAACACCCAAGCTAGCAAGATATCTTGGAGTAGATGATAGTGATTTAATAAAGAAGTATTTAATAATAGTCATTATTATGATGATACTAATAAATTGATAGCAGACAGAGTACAAAAACAGCAACAGTATAGAGAGAAAGAGAGATTCTATTAGAATGATAGTAATAATAATAATAATAATAATAATAATAATAATAATAATAATAATAATAATAATGACGATGACGATGACGGTTATGGTTATGGTGATGACGATAAGAATAAGAATAAGAATAATAGTAATAGTAGTAGTAGTAGTAGTAGTAGTAGTAGAAGTAGTGGTAAAAGTAATAATGATGGTGGTAGTGATAATAAACAAAACCAAGTATATATAGAGAGAAGAGGAAGATAATAGGAAGAGAAAGAGGAAAGGGGGGGTTAAGGAAAAGATCGACAAAGTGTTTGAGATATATATATATGAGTGTATGACAAAATATACTGTATTGTATTTAGTGCAGTTGGAGTCTTGCAGATGGTGTTCGCTGTCGGGAGACTTGTTTCAGTAGGGTTTCGAGCTCATGCACTCGCTGTTGACATTGATTTACATCTCGCTGGAGCTGTTTAATTTGATCCACACTCTTGCGTAAGATGGTTCCCTTGTTTAGTCTGTTGATGCCGTCTTCTTCCAGATCCGGTAAAAGTGTACCGAGTTCTTGAATTCTGTCATTAATATTATCTCGACGACGTCTCTCAACTACAATACAATAAAGTACAATGCAATATATCAATATCAATATCAATATCAATACATAATATATATATATATATATATATCTTACCGGCATTGTGTGACTCTCGTCTTCTCCGGCGTTTATCCATTATAGCTTGAAGACTACAAAGTAATAGGCAAATAGATAGATGTCAGTAACCGATATAAAATTTTGTTGTTGTTGTTATTGCTACTGTTTTTTTTCGTAAAGAGCACTAGAAATCTATGTATCTATATATCTATATTTAATGTATTAAACAATACACACGCACACACACATCTATCTATATATAACAATTTTCTTTTGGGTATACTAAACTAAAGTAAAGTAAAGCAAGGTAAAGTAAGACAATCACAATTATTTAACTACAGCTAATTTTGTTCCAAAGGTTCAAATTTATACTATGTCTAATCTGTTTGAAGGAGAAGATTTGGTTCATTTACTTTGCTTGGGCGGCAAACATATCGTCGTAGTTTTCAATGGCTTCTTGTGGTGAAGCAGGCTTGGATTGTCTACGTGTACGTTCGTGAGGATATTTCTTGGAATTTGTTTTTAGAGAGGGTGAGATGGCAAAACTTGTGGCATCTACCACTGCGCCGTCTTCGGCCACTGGTACCGAGTCCCCAAAAGTATGCTGCTGCTGTTGTTGCTGTTGGTGGTGGTGGTGGTGGTGGTGCTGATGATGCTGTTGGTGATTATGGTGATTGTGATGGTTGTGAGGCATGGGGCCATACCCAATATTTGCAGGAGAACCTCCAGCAAAAGGTCTGTATCTCTGGTCCAAATGTATGGCAGCCGAAGGATAAAACAGGAAATCGTTGGTGGGCTCTTGTGTATTAGGGTCTTCTTGACTGTGATTAATATGATGCATATGATGATTATGATGATGATGAAGATTGTTGTTGTTATTAATTTGTTGGTGATGCTGCTGAATACTATTGCTGTGGTTGTGATTATTATGATTATTAATGATATTTGTATGTTGACGATATACCGCAGCAGTATTGATACTGTTATTTGATTGCAAGGCTGTAGAACGTTTCATGATTAGCTGTGAATTGTCGTAGTATTGTTCTAGCTGTGAATGGTTGATAGGTCCAAATTTTTCAGATACAAGGTCAGTGTAAGACAGATCTTGATGGCTATGACTATGGTTTGGATCTTGTTCTTGGTTTTGTTCTTGTTCTTGCTCTTGTTTTAGCGCTTGTTCTTGTTCTTGCTCTGGTTCTTGTTCTTGCTCTTGTTCTTGTTCTTGCTCTTGTTCTTGTGGCTGTGGTAGTGATATTGGTAATGATAGTGATAGTGATAGTGGTTGAGACTGCGGTTGTGGTGGAGTTGATTGAGAGAGAAAGATGTTGTTTTGGAGTAAATGTTGATTGATTTTGATCAAAGGATCTTTAAAGTGCATCTGTTGCATGTGGGCCACACGGGTCTTGGGTACTTCTGGTTCTCTTGTGGTGACGTCCATGAGAAATACAAGTATAAATACTAATACTAATACTAATACTAAGGATAATGATAATGATAATGATAGCGCCAATAAAAACCAACAAGATTATAAAGAATTTTGATTTATAAATGTCTTTCTTGTTCTTCTTGTTCTTCTTCCTTTACTTCAAAAATAATAATACTTGATATTATATAATATAATAAGATATATATATATATATATATAAAAGGAGGGGTGGTGAAGGACGAGGAGGAGGAAGAGGAAAGGGAAGGAGAAAGATCAATTATTATATATATATATATTATATATTATATATTTATATTTATACATTTTCTTTCTTTCTTTCTTTCTTTCTTTCTTTTTCAGCGCGCGGACCAGCTACTGCTGCAGGACAATTGTCACACAAGTTTCGGTCAAGAAAAAATAATAATAAAGATAAATGAGATACTTTGTGTGACGAATGACTACTACACTTTCTTTTTCTCCTGGTATTTTCTAATACGGTATTTTGCGTCTGAAAAATGCTTTTATAATATAAAATATTTGAGGTGCAATACTCTAGAGATAGAAAGAGAAATGTAAATTATAGTTTTTACAATTCAGTCCCATGTTCTCTCTCTCTTTTTTTCTTTTTCATCACCTGGCATGGATTTTGTGTCCATTTGTTTTATATAATAAGATGTTTAAAGAGAAAGCTAAATTGATATAAAATAAATTGATTTCAATTTTTCGTTAAAATATTTCTATTATAAATATAAGCTTTTTCTCCCCTTTATACATTATAAGAATTATTAATTATTTGGTGTGGACAGATAAAAGCTCAAAAAAAAGGGTAAAATAGAAAGGGGCAAACATGTAAGCCGTATTATTGGATGAGAGTCTTTTTTTTTTTAAATATATATATAATTTTGGTCTTTTAGTTGAAAGTTCAAAAAATGGGTAATATTTTGAACGATTCTGATTGGCTGGTCTTCTTCCATTGCCACTTGTATTGAGAAGGAGAGCATTTTCTTTTTGGATGGAAAAGATGTCCCATAGGATGTAAGGCCTAGAAAAACTCGCAATAAAAGGTTCCCACTTAATGACAGTGATGACATTATGAGTACAATGTTACCTAATATGTACTTGAACTAATCTTGAATTTTTTTTACCCTTTTTTTTTGCCCCCTTTTCTTTTATTTAACTTTCAGTCTGTATAGCAAGTGTTTCGCGCTTGAAGATATTATTCCTTTGAATTCAATACGACTTTTAAAATCCAGTAGAAATGTTTGGCTATCGATCAATATACGCCACGAAAACAATAGAAGAAGAAAGAGCTTGCAGTAGTCTAACAAAGCTAAACTGGTTAACTATACGCTTATACGCTTTTCATATTGATAGACCTTGTAGATAATCTTCGTTAGCAACAGATCCAACCTTGACAGTCTTCAAGTGTAACTTTCTTGACAGCCTCTTCAATTCTGTCAGTAATCATTTCGTTCTTCAAAAGCTCAATTTTACGTAATTTCCCCTTAACCTTTGGCCAACACTCTTCAACGCAATATCACTTTGAACTTTGGAACCTGCTAAGAAAATGTTGATGTTTTTCAATTGTGTCTTCAGAATTTTGTTCTGCTATTCTTGTTTGGGTACAACTGAGTGTAGACTAAAGTTTATAAGATATATACCGGTATACATTTGATTCATTAATCGACAAACTATCAAAAGCAGCACAAAGACAGTCAGTAACATCTGACTACAGGCTGGATGTTATTTGACATAATTATAAATGAATCGGGAGCGCTTCTCAGTAAGCTTAATGTTATTGTCTTTTTGGTTTGACTTGAGATGCTAGTTAATAACCCGGCAATACTCTTTCTTCATTTGCTCTCAATTTTTTATGGTACTTATAGGCAGACTTGAATTCAATTCGAGCCTTTCCAACAGCTTTGGATAAGATAAATGAATTTAGTAATCTATGCTGGTGCCCAAACCATGGCGGGTAGCCGAGCCAAACCTAATTCAAATTCTTTGATAGCCATTACCGCATCTAAAGAGTCTTCTTCCTCTGACGAGATTGAAATATCCGAAAAAAAACTCTCATCCAATAATACGGCTTACATTTTTAGCCCTTTTTATTTTGACCTTTTTCTTTGAGCTTTTAGTCTGTCCACACCAATTATTTTATATCAATTTAGCTTTAGCTTTAAACATCTTATTATATAAAACAAATGGACACAAAATCCATGCCAGGTGATGAAAAAGAAAAAAAAAGAGAGAGAACATGGGACTGAATTGTAAAAACTATAATTTAATTTAATTTTTATATATAAAAATAGAGATTTTTTCTCTAATTTTTTTTTTTAAAAAAAAAAAACTTTAAAAATTACTCTCCTTTTCTTCTGATTTTTTATTTTGTTTCAAAATCAAGTATAAATTTCAATTTATCTATCTATTTATCTACTTAACTTTTGTGCTGTAACTCTGTATTTATTCTTCATATTTTTCATGTGTCTTTGTGTAATAACTCCTTGTTATATTTTTTCAACCCCTAATAATAATTATACTGTGATATATTATATTATATAATAAAGACTACTCTTGATGTCACACGAAAGGAACCAAGACATCCAATCAAAATATCTCTGTAAAGCCCCCCTCTCTCTTTATACTTTTTGGAATATCGTTTACCGCAGTACGCAACTCCACTCTCGCGCGCTCTCTTTCTTTCTTTCTTTTTTTTTTTTTTGGTTTCTTTAACGCGTGTATTGCACTCGCCTGTTACTGAAAGAAAATAAAAAAGAGAATAGAGAAACCAAAAAAAAAGAAGTAAAATAAGAGGCACTTTGGTGACAGATTTGAACTCTATATATTACATATAGATTTTCACAGCTCTTCAAACAACAACAACAAAAAAGATAGTCTATTAATTGATTAGCTTTACGTATACCCTCACCCACCAAACTACTTTCATATCTGTCCGTAAACCCAAACCAAAACACAGCCAAAAGAAGAAGAAAAAGGGAAATCTTGCACAATGCTTGATGACGAAACTACCTTGGCTGCCACCTCAATGGTGCCAACAGGTGCACCTGCAGAGACATTGATTGTCTTCGATCATCGTCTACTACAAGAATATCTCGAGCAACTTCTTCCCTTGGTGCTCGATGCAGAGGTCTCTGACCTTGACAATACCATCTTCTCTTACCCAGACACCATTGAAAAATTCAAACGTTTTTCGAATGACCCTCAGAGCCCAGTCCTCTTCATCATGAAAGAAAAGGAAGGTGGCAAGGACGAAGGTAATAACAATAATAATAATTATATATATATACATATATATATATATATATATTAAAATTTTGAAAGGAAAAGCAAATTCTGTCAAAGCCTGTCAAATATAATAATAACAAGAAATGACATTCACACCATATTTATTTTTAATAATATTGTAGATGACGCTTCTCCTGCCGTGTACAGTTACAGTGCATCTCACGAAATCACTTATTTACCCACTCATGTCGGCTCACTTGCCATCATCAAGCGATTACCCACCCTGGATCCCTCTCGCCCACTCCAGAACCAACTCCAACTCATCAATCTGCCCGGTGCACCCCACGCAGGAGAACCCGGTCAGACGAGTGCCTACGAGTTCTTGCATTCCTACATCCATCTTGCCGTCAGCCCTTACTTCAATGCTTACGTCAACGCACGCCACGGTACAACCACCGACACCTCAAAGAGCAAAAACGAAGACAACAAGATGGGTGTTCCGATGGCCAAAAAGAAAATGGCCGAACTCGAACTCAGTTTACTCCATCTCCAACAAAACGTCGAAATCCCCGAAATTGCTCTCTCGATCCACCCAGTTGTCCAGAAAGCTGTAGACAAGTGTCGTGAGCAGAACAGACGTGTGACTGTAGAGTCGGTCGACCCGGCCCTCTTTTCAGACTCTTCATTCCTCAACAAACTTCAGGGCGACGTCAATGGCTGGATCAAGGAAATCCAAAAGGTCACCAAGATGTCCCGTGACCCGGCCAGTGGAACTGCAATCCAGGAGATCAACTTCTGGCTCAGCATGGAACGAGCTCTCGAGAAAATCGACGAGCAGCTCAAGAGCGACCAGATCACCTTGACCCTCGATATCCTCAAACACGCAAAGCGATTCCACGCAACCGTCAGTTTCATTGCCGATACCGGTCTCAAGGAGGGTATGGAACTTGTCCACAAGTACAACCAGCTCATGAAGGATTTCCCACTCAATGAGCTCTTGTCTGCAACTGATGTCGACAAGATTCGCGAATCCCTCGGATTGATTTTCGGTCATCTTAATAAGAAGCTCAAACTCTCGTAAGTATATCAATCAATCTATCAATTAATCAATATACTTATATATGTGTGTATGTGTATCTATCTATAAATTTTTTTTGGGATGTGTCTAGTCCTTACCCGATTCGCCGTGCTCTTCCACTTGTGGAGGCAATTTCGCGTGATCTCAACGATCAGTTACTCAAGGTACTCGGCAGTCGTCGTCTGATGTACATGGAATACGAGGACTTTGAGCGAACCACATCCGGGGCCGAAGCTGTGTTCCACACCTGGGATGACCTGATCAAAGAGTTCACAAACGTCGCCCGTGATGTGACCCGAAAGCGGTCCGAGAAATTCTTGCCTATCAAGATCAACCCGGCACACGCAAAGCTCCAAGAGCGAGTTACCTTTGTCCGTGCCTTCCGTAAACAGCACGAGCAGTTGCACCAAACCATCGTGCGAGTCATGACCAGCCCTCGTGCCAAAAAGTCCACTGTAGTGGTCGATGGCCAAGTTAAGATGACCATGGAAGAAGAGGAGAGCGTGAGTATCAGCGACATCAATGCCGTCGAGGAAGTCAAGCTTGCCTACGAGAGTGTCAAAAACATCGACGTTCTCGATGTCTCACCTGGTAAGGTTGATTATCAGTATATACATAATAGTTTTCAGTTTGCCGTTACAGGAAACACATGAATAGACGCACACGCACAACTATAATCATAATAGTCGCCATAGTCATAATTACCTTCATATTCATGATACTAATAATAATAGTGATGCTTATCATCATCATCATCATCATCATCATTCAGAGGGTACAGAGATCTGGGTTCAAGCAGAAACGGTGTACAATGAAAGAGTATCTCGAGTAGAGAATCAGATCATTGCCCGTTTGAGAGATCGTCTAGGTACAGCAAAGAGTGCCAATGAGATGTTCCGCGTCTTTTCAAAATTCAATGCCTTGTTTGTACGCCCCAAGGTAAGCTTCTTTTTTCTTCTTCTTTTGGCTTATATTTCAAAATAAAAATATTTTTACAAACCTACAAATACTTAACTATGATTATGATTATGATTATGATTATGATTACGATTATGATTATGATTTGAAATACCTATAGATCAGAGGTGCTATTCAAGAGTATCAGACTCAATTGATTGACAGTGTCAAAGAAGACATCAACAAACTGCACGACAAATTCAAGATGCAGTACCGTAACTCAGAGGCTTACCACATGGCCCAGTTGCGTGATCTGCCTCCTATTTCGGGTGCAATTATCTGGGCTCGCCAGATTGACCGCCAGCTGTCATTGTACATGAAGCGTGTTGAAGATGTACTTGGTAAAGGATGGGAACTTTATGCCGAGGGTCAGAAACTCCAGGTCGAGAGCAGCAGCTTCCGTAAAAAGCTCGACACTAGACTCACTTACGAGAACTGGCTCCAGGAGATCACCAAACGAGATCTTTCTGTTTCGGGACGTATCTTCGAAATTGCACGCAATCGAGTCCAAAAGAACGCTCTGCAGTTGGGTGTTAACTTTGATGGCCAGATCATCACCCTCTTCAAGGAAGTCCGCAATTTACTCTGGCTCAACTACCAGGTCCCACACACCATCTCCAACGTTGCCAAGGACGCCAAGCGAGTCTATCCTTTTGCTGTCAGTCTCATGGAAACCGTCCGGACTTTCTCCCAGACCGTCCACAAAGTCAACCGACACCCCGATGTCGCTACATTGGTTGCCGGATACCGCAACGAAGTCCATGTGATGATTACAAAGGGAATCAATCTGCGATGGGATTACTTTGTCAATACTTATGATGCCCATCACCGCCCGTTGTCTTACCTCACCGGCACTCCTCTCGATGCCCGTGAGAACCGACATGTGATGTTTGTGCGTGAGTTTGCCAACGTTGTCTCTGTATTCCAAGACAAGGTCGATGCTTTGATCGGCTACTATGACGATATTTCAAAGAGCACCGAGGAAATGAAGACCTGTCCTTACCAGGCAGAACGTTTCGAGGATGCCTTGGGTCGTATTCAGAAATTGGTTAGTAAAACAAATAACAAAAGAGAGACAAAAAAGCAACCCCAAATAGAAACGCAAATGCAATGTGTTGTAATCGTTTTACCGTTATTATTATTAACACATGCTAAAACCAAAAAACCACAATCCACAAACCACAAACAATAACCTAAACAATTTTTTTTGCTGTTATTAAGATCGATCGATTGAATCTCGAAAACTATTCTAACCTTGACCAATGGGTTGCCGGACTTGATAAACGTATCGAAACAGTTATGGTGGGTCGATTGAGACAAGCCATCAAGGCATGGATCAATAGCTTCTTGGGTATCAGCGAAGAGCTTGTTGTACCTGAAGTAAGCGCATCCAAGAGTAGACGCAAGCGCAAGACTGGTGGTGCTGGTGTTGGAAATGGCGGTCCGCGCGACAGCTCTGCACTCGAAGATGCAAAGTCTATTGCTGCTGCGGCTGCAGCTGCACAGAAATCCCCAGACGTCAAACCAGCTCTGCAGACCCTTGTGCACGAGATCCGAATCCGCAACCAGCTCATGTACCTCGACCCACCAATTGAGCAGGCCCGTGCTAGCTGGTGGTCTCAGCTCCACGACTGGCTGGCTGTTGTCTGTCACCTGTTGCGCATCCAGAGCTCCCGGTACGAGGGTGGTCTGAGTGTCAAGGACAACCCGAGCGTTGAGAAAACCTATGCCAGTCTGCTGACCCGCATGGGTGACGGCTCGCTCGAACACGCCTACCAGATCATTGAAGACAAGATCCGCCAGGTAGCCGACTATGTCAACATCTGGCTGCAGTACCAATCTTTGTGGGACTTGGAATCCAGTCATGTGTTCTCCATCCTCGAGGATGATCTCGTCAAGTGGCAGCAGATCCTGCTGGAAATCAAAAAGGCCCGTGGTACGTTTGATAATTCCGAGACCGAACAATCGTTTGGTCCCCTGGTGGTGGATTATGAACAGGTCCAGAGTAAGGTCAATCAAAAGTACGACCAGTGGCAAAAGGACATCCTTAACAAGTTCGGAAGCATGCTCGGTACCTCTATGCGTGACTTCCACGCCTCGGTATCCCAAGGCCGTTACGAACTCGAACAGCAATCGATCGAGAGCAACTCCACAGGCGAAGCTGTCACCTTTATTACCTTTGTCCAGGATCTCAAGCGCAAGGTCGCCAAGTGGAGTCAAGACGTCGAGCTCTTCAGACAAGGCCAAAAGACCCTCGAGCGCCAGCGTTTCCAGTTCCCCAATGACTGGGTCTATGTTGATCAGGTCGATGGCGAGTGGAGTGCATTCAATGAAATCCTCAGTCGCAAGAACAACGCAATTCAGGAACAAGTTGGTAAGTCAATCAATAATAGCATTTCCTTTAACATCATAAAAACACAGACACATACACATAAATGCATACATACATATCAAACTTATTCTTAAATAATTAATAACAATAAATTACTATGATTATCATTAGCTGGATTGCAGATGAAGATTGTTGCCGAGGACAAGGTGGTCGAATTGAAGATTCGTGACATCTGTGCCGAGTGGGAAAAAAGCAAGCCTGTCCAGGGAGACATCAAGCCCGATATTGCTACAAACACTCTCAGTATCTTCGAGGGCCGAGTTACACGTCTCAAGGAAGAATACGACATGGTCTGCCGCGCCAAGGAAGCTCTGGATCTCGAACAGACTTCCGAAGCTCGCTTGGAGCCTGTACTTGAGGAGTTGCGCGATCTCAAGTCGGTTTGGACTGCACTTGCACGTGTGTGGAAGTCGGTCTACGAGATCAGAGACACACCTTGGTCGTCTGTTGTGCCACGCAAGGTCCGCCAACACATCGATGGTCTGGTAAACTCGACCAAGGAAATGCCCAACCGTATGCGCCAGTATGCAGCCTACGAGTACGTCCAAGAGACCCTTCGCCAGCTTTTACGTGTCAATCCACTTGTTGGCGACCTCAAGTCCGAAGCGCTTCGTGAGCGCCACTGGCGCCAGATCTTCAAGACTCTCAGAGTCGAAGGACGCTTTACACTGGCCGAGATGACTATCGGTCACTTGTGGGATCTGGATCTCAAGCGTAACGAGATGGTGATTAGGGAAGTCATTCTGCAGGCTCAGGGTGAAATGGCCCTCGAGGAGTTCTTGAAACAAGTCAAGGAAACCTGGGCAAACTATGTCTTGGATCTCGTCAATTATCAAAACAAGTGTCGCTTGATCCGTGGCTGGGACGACCTGTTCAACAAGTCAAGTGAACACATCAGTTCTCTCACTGCAATGAAACTGTCTCCGTACTACAAAGTGTTTGAGGAAGACGCAGCATCCTGGGAGGACAAGCTGAACCGCGTCCATGTGCTGTTTGATGTTTGGATCGACGTTCAACGCCAATGGGTCTACCTGGAGGGTATCTTCAGTGGCAGTGCGGACATCAAGCATCTGCTCCCTGTCGAGACCTCGCGTTTCCAGAGCATCAACTCCGAGTTCTTGACGGTCATGAAAAAGGTCTACAAGTCTCCCTTTGTTCTTGATGTCCTCAACATCCCCAACATCCAAAAATCTCTTGAACGTCTGGCTGATCTTCTCAGCAAGATCCAAAAGGCTCTGGGTGAGTACCTTGAGCGTGAGCGTGCTTCGTTCCCTCGTTTCTACTTTGTCGGTGACGAAGATTTGCTTGAGATCATTGGTAACAGTAAAGACATCCTTCGTATCCAGAAGCATTTCAAGAAGATGTTTGCTGGTATCTCCAACATTCTGCTCGATGATGAACAGACAGTGATTTTGGGTATGGCCTCCAAGGAAGGCGAAGAAGTCATCTTCAAGAACCCGGTGTCCATCAAAGAGAACCCAAAGATTAACGACTGGCTTACCATACTCGAAAATGAAATGCGTGTCTCACTTGCACTGCTGCTTTCGGATGCCGTTGGTGAAAGTGAGACGATCTATAATGCCGAGCAGATGGACTCGAATGACTATCTGGCCTGGGTGGAGCGTTATCCCGCCCAGCTCGTTGTCTTGGCTGCCCAGATCACCTGGACCCACACCGTAGACAAGGCATTGATCTCGATGTCAGAGGGTGCTAATGACGATCAAACACCCCTCCAGCATTCGATTTCTTTGGTCGAGCGTAATCTCAACGTCTTAGCTGATGCTGTGCTTTTGGATCTCTCGGCAATCAAACGCCGCAAGTGCGAGCACCTGGTTACCGAGCTTGTGCATCAGAGAGATGTGACCCGTCAATTGCTCAATGACAAAGCTTGTTCGACCAAGGACTTCAACTGGCTTTATCAGATGCGTTACTACTTCAACCCTGCTGTTGAAAATCCCATCCACCGTCTGAGCATCAAGATGGCCAATGCTTCATTCTACTATGGCTACGAATACCTCGGTGTAGTCGATCGTCTGGTCCAGACACCGCTCACCGATCGTTGTTACCTAACTCTCACTCAGGCTCTTGAGCAGCGCTTGGGTGGTTCTCCATTCGGTCCTGCTGGTACAGGAAAGACCGAATCCGTCAAGGCTTTGGGTGTTCAGCTTGGCCGCTTTGTGCTTGTGTTCTGTTGTGACGAAACCTTTGATTTCCAAGCAATGGGTCGTATTTTCATTGGTCTCTGTCAGGTCGGCGCCTGGGGCTGTTTCGACGAGTTCAATCGTCTGGAAGAACGTATCCTGTCTGCCGTTTCTCAACAGGTCCAGACCATTCAGCTGGGTCTCAAGGAAGCCACCATCAACCCTAACCACGAGATTGAGCTGGTTGACCGCAATGTTAAGGTCAACACTGACACTGGTATATTTATTACCATGAACCCTGGTTATGCTGGTCGTTCAAACTTGCCCGACAACTTGAAGAAGCTTTTCAGAAGCATGGCAATGACCAAGCCCGATCGCGAGCTGATTGCCCAAGTCATGCTGTACTCCCAAGGTTTCCGTACCGCCGAAACTCTTGCTTCCAAGGTCGTACCTCTCTTCAATCTGTGTGCCGAACAGCTCTCACCTCAGTCCCATTATGATTTCGGACTTCGTGCGCTCAAGAGTGTGTTGGTGAGTGCCGGTAACCTAAAGCGAGATCGCCTGGCATCACTTCGTCAGGATATCGAGTCCGGAAAGTCAACCGATGCAGAGTATGTCACCATCTCTGAGCCTCTTCCTGAACAGCAACTCTTGATCTCCAGGTAAGAAATCATTTATATATGTATTATGAGGTTCTCAATATTCTTTTAATTTGTTTTGTATTTGACTTTAGTATCCGAGAGACAGTTGTGCCCAAGCTGGTAGCTGATGATATTCCTCTGTTGACAAGGTAAGAACTAGAATTAGATATTTTGATAATCCTTTGTTTTGCTTTTGTTTTTGTTTTCGTTTTTGGTTACTACGATCAAATACCTAACTTTTTTCTTCTTCTTTATATAAAACCCATCCTTTAGTCTTTTGGCTGATGTGTTCCCTGGTGTTCACTACGCCCCAGTTGATCTGGATAGACTTAAGACTGAGCTCAAGAAGGTCTGTGAGGAACGTCGTCTGGTGGCTGGAGATGCTTGGATGGAGAAGGTTATCCAACTGTACCAGATCCAGAACATTCATCACGGTTTGATGATGGTCGGTCCGTCTGGTTCCGGTAAATCATCGGCCTGGAAGACTCTTTTGACTGCTCTTGAGAGATGTGAGAATGTCGAAGGTATTGCGTACACCATTGACCCCAAAGCTATTCCAAAAGATGCTTTATATGGTACCCTTGACTCTACCACCCGTGAATGGACCGATGGTCTGTTTACCCACATTCTGCGTAAAATTGTCGACAATGTTCGTGGCGAGAGTCAAAAGCGCCATTGGATTATCTTTGATGGTGATGTCGATCCTGAATGGGTTGAGAACTTGAACTCTGTATTGGATGACAACCGTCTGCTTACACTGCCCAACGGTGAACGTCTCAACTTACCACCAAATGTCCGTATCATGTTCGAAGTCGAGACTCTTAAGTATGCTACATTGGCTACTGTCTCTCGTTGTGGTATGGTCTGGTTCAGTGAGGATGTAATCACTATGCCTATGATCTTCACCAACTATCTCGAAACTCTCCGCAATGTTCCAATGGATGAGATCGAAGAAGAAGGTCCCTCCCGTCGCCTGGCCGAGAACGATGATCTCGCATCAGTGTCGCCTAACATTGCCACTCAACGTGCAATTGCTGCCATTATGGTTCCTGATCTATCTGATGATGAAGGTCTTGTCGCCAAGTCACTCGAATTTGCTGCAACATTGGAGCACATCATGGACTTCACCCGCATGCGTGTCATGTCTACTTTCTTCTCGCTTTTGAACAAGACTGTTCGTAATGTGCTAGAGTACAATGCCCAACACCCCGATTTCCCCATGACCGGCGATCATCTTGAGGGCTACATCACCAAGCGTGTCATCTACTCTATCATTTGGAGTTTCTCTGGAGATACCAAACTTGACCTACGCACTGTCCTTGGCGACTTTGTACGATCTACCACTACCTACGAACTTCCTCCCGCCAGCAACAATTCTAGCATTATCGACTATGATATTGCTGTCAGCACTGGTCAGTGGGTACCATGGGAGTCCAAGGTACCTGTTATTGAAATCGAGACCCACAAGGTCTCTGAGGCCGATATGATTATTCCCACCGTCGACACCATCCGTCACGAAGAAGTCCTTTATTCGTGGTTGTCTGAACACAAACCTCTCATTTTGTGTGGTCCTCCTGGTTCCGGAAAGACAATGACTTTGTTCAGTGCTCTGCGCAAGCTTCCAGACATGGAGGTTGTTGGCCTCAATTTCTCCAGTGCCACCACCCCAGAATTGATCCTCAAGACCTTTGAGCAGCACTGTGAGTATCGCAAGACACCAAACGGTGTCATTCTGTCACCAACCATGATCGGTCGCTGGCTTGTTGTTTTCTGTGATGAAATCAACTTGCCCGCTACTGACAAGTACAATACTCAGCGTGTCATTTCGTACCTTCGTCAACTGGTCGAATACAATGGTTTTTGGCGTACATCTGACAAAGCTTGGGTTACTCTCGAGCGTATCCAGTTTGTCGGTGCCTGTAATCCTCCCACAGATCCCGGTCGTGTTCCTCTTTCACATCGTTTCTTGCGCCACGCTCCTCTGGTTATGGTCGATTATGCTGGACAGCTCTCGCTTATGCAGATTTACGGTACCTTTGCTCGTGCAATGCTTAAGGTGGTTCCCAATCTCCGTGGCTATGCTGAACCATTGACGGCTGCCATGGTCGAGCTGTACCTGGCTTCTCAAAAGCGATTCACACCCGATATCCAAGCCCATTATATCTATTCACCGCGTGAGTTGACTCGCTGGATTCGTGGTATTTACGAGGCTATCAAACCACTTGAAACCTTGACAGTTGAGGGTCTGGTACGTATCTGGGCGCATGAAGCCCTTCGTCTATTCCAGGATCGTCTGGTAGATGAGGAAGAACGTCGCTGGACAGACCAAATGATTGATTCCATTGCCTTGAGTCACTTCCCTGCTCTCAACCGCGAAGAAGCTCTTGAACGTCCCATCCTGTTCTCCAACTGGCTTTCCAAATTCTACATTCCTGTAGAGCGTGAGCAGTTGCGTGACTTTGCAAAGGCTCGTCTCAAGGTGTTCTATGAAGAAGAACTCGATGTCGCCCTTGTGTTGTTCAATGACGTACTTGAGCACGTACTCCGTATCGATCGTGTATTCCGTCAACCCCAAGGTCACTTGCTGTTGATTGGTGTGAGTGGTTCGGGTAAGACTACCCTCTCACGTTTTGTGGCCTGGATGAACGGTTTGAGTGTATTCCAAATCAAAGTTCACAACAAGTACACCGGTGCTGATTTTGATGACGATTTGCGTACTGTGCTGAGAAGAGCCGGTTGTAAGGGTGAAAAGATCTGCTTCATTATGGATGAATCCAACGTACTTGACTCCGGTTTCCTTGAACGTATGAACACCTTGTTGGCCAATGCTGAAGTCCCCGGTTTGTTCGAAGGTGACGAGTATGCCTCTTTGATGACTGCTTGTAAAGAGGGTGCTCAGAGAGATGGTTTGATGCTTGATTCTGGCGAAGAACTCTACAAGTGGTTCACTCAACAGGTCATGCGAAACCTTCACGTCGTTTTCACCATGAACCCTCCTCAAGGAGGTCTTGCTTCGCGTGCTGCTACTTCTCCTGCTCTTTTCAATCGTTGTGTACTTGATTGGTTTGGTGACTGGCCCGATCAGGCCTTTTACCAGGTCGGTATTGAGTTTACAAAGACACTTGACTTGGACGTCCCCAACTACTCTTCGCCTGTCAAGTTCCCCATCGCTTACCGCAATTTGCCCATTCCCCCATCTCATCGTGAAGCCGTGGTGAATGCGCTCGTCAGTGTTCACCAGTCTCTGTATGACATTAACGCAAAACTCAGTAAGCGACAGGGTCGTCACAACTATGCTACTCCTCGCCACTTCTTGGATTTCATCTCTCACTATGTTCGCTTGTACAACGAAAAGCGTGAAGATTTAGAAGAACAACAGCGCCATTTGAACGTCGGTCTTGAAAAACTTAAGGATACTGTCGTCAAGGTCGAGGAATTGCGCAAGAGCTTGGCTATCAAGAAGAACCAGCTTGAAGTAAAGAATGCACAGGCCAACGAAAAGATCAACCAGATGTTGGCTGATGAGAAGGAAGCCGAACAAAAGAAGGCTGTTTCTATTAAGATCCAAGCTGGATTGGAAGTCCAAAACAGAGTAAAGATATATAATATAGATATAATAAAAAGAGAGCGAAAGCAAGAATGGGCAAAGATATTTAACAATATTTTTTGTAGGAATTGCAAAAGCGTCGTACTGTCGTATTACACGATCTTGCTAATGCCGAACCCGCTGTTGCAGAAGCTAGAAAGAGTGTCAGCAGTATTAAACGTCAGCACTTGACTGAAGTCCGTTCCATGGGTAATCCCCCAGAAGCCGTCAAATTGACCATGGAGTCTGTATGTACCATGTTGGGACACAAGATTGATAGCTGGAAGACTGTCCAGAGTGTTATTCGTCGTGATGATTTCATCACTAGCATTGTCAACTACAACACCGAAGGCCAAATGACCAAAAACATGCGAGAATTCATGCGTAGAAACTACCTTAACAATCCTGCATTTGAATATGATACCGTCAACCGTGCCTCTACCGCATGCGGTCCCCTTTGCAAGTGGGTCTATGCTCAGGTCACTTACTCTGACATCCTTGACCGTGTTGGTCCTCTGCGTGAGGAAGTGAACCAACTCGAGATTAGTGCAGAGGAGAGCGAGAGAAAGGCTGCTGAGATCGAGAAGATGATTCTGGATCTTGAGACCAGTATTGCTCGTTACAAAGATGAATATGCCGCACTCGTAGGTGAGACTCAGTTGATCAAGGCTGAGATGGATCGTGTAAAATCCAAGGTCGATCGCAGTGTTACACTTCTCAGCAGTCTGTCTTCCGAAAAGGTCCGTTGGGAAACTGCCAGTCAGGCATTCGAGAGCCAGATGGGCACCATTGTTGGTGATGTAATTCTTGCCGCTGCCTTCTTAGCATACGGTGGTTACTTTGATCAGCAGTATCGTGAGATCCTCATGCTCAAGTGGACCGATCACCTTATGTCCGCCAATATTCAGTTCAAGCAAGATGTATCACTTACCGAGTACCTCTCAACTGCCGACGATCGTTTGTCTTGGCAAGCCAATTCGCTTCCAGCTGATGCACTTTGTATTGAAAACGCCATTATGCTTAAGCGCTTCGACCGTTATCCACTTGTCATCGATCCATCTGGTCAAGCAACCAATTTCTTGATTAACGAGTACAAGGATCGCAAGATTACCGTCACTAGTTTCCTCGACGACGCATTCATCAAGAACCTTGAGAGTGCTCTTCGTTTCGGTAACCCTATATTGATTCAGGATGTTGAGCATCTAGATCCCATCTTGAATCCTGTGCTTAACAAAGAATTGCGTCGTACTGGTGGTCGTGTGCTGATCCGACTCGGAAACCAGGATATCGATTTCTCACCCTCGTTCACTCTCTTCCTGTCTACGCGTGATCCTTCTGTCAACTTTGCTCCCGATATTTGCTCGCGTGTGACATTTGTCAATTTCACTGTTACTCGAGGAAGTTTGCAGAGTCAGTGTCTTAACAAGGTTCTCAAGGCTGAACGTCCTGATGTTGATCAGCGTCGTAACGATCTGACTAAGCTTCAAGGTGAATTCCAATTGAAGTTACGCCACCTTGAAAAGTCATTGCTTCAGGCTCTCAATGAATCAAAGGGTAACATCTTGGATGATGACAAGGTGATCGAAACTCTTGAGACTCTCAAGAAGGAGGCTGCCGAAATTACACGCAAGGTTGATGAGACCAATGTGGTTATGTACGAAGTCGAGCAAACAACTGCTGTGTACACCCCTCTCGCCCATGCCTGTAGTTCAATCTTCTTTGTGATGGAACAATTGAACTCTATCCACCACTTCTACCAATTCTCGCTTGATTTCTTCTATGAAATCTTTGAGTATGTCTTGCACGCAAATCCTAACCTAAAGGGGGTAACTGATCCAAATGAGCGTCTGACAATCCTGTCTCGAGACTTGTTCTCGGCTGCTTACAAGCGTGCATCGCGCACACTTCTTCATGAAGACCACACTATGTTTGCCGTCTTGCTTTGCCAAATCCGTATTCGAGGTGCACAAGAAAACGTTGATGAGACTGAATACGATTTCTTGCTTAGCGGTGGTGAAGTTGTAGCTGGCTCTTCGATTACTGCTGTTGGAATGGGACTGCCATCATTTGTTACAGACGAAATGGCTCAAAAGACCAGAGAATTCATGACTCTTGACTGCTTCCGTGGTTTGTCAGAGCACATCAAATCCCATGACATTGAATGGAGACAATTCCTACAGAATGCTCAACCCGAGACTGTTGTTCCTATGTTCTGGCCTTCTGCTGGCATTAACCGTAAGTAGCAGTGGAGAAAATTAACCAATATATATATATATATATATAGAAATTTTCTGTATTAGGAAACTAATGTGGAGTGTTTATAGATACTGTCGATGCTGTCAGAAAGATGTTGATCATCAAGTGCTTCCGTCCTGACCGTCTTATTCCTGCCGCTACAATCTTTGCTTCTGAGATTTTCTATCCTGACTTTGCCAATTCCGGTGAACTTAACTTGCAGATGATCGTAAATAATGAGGTCGACAGCAGTACCCCTCTTGCTCTGTGCTCTGTACCCGGTTATGATGCCAGTTATCGTGTTGACAATCTGGTTACAGAATCAAACATGCGATGTACTTCTGTTGCCATGGGTTCCGCTGAAGGTTTCACACTTGCCGACCAAGCCATTTCACTTGCTATCAAGACTGGTAACTGGGTTATGCTTAAGAACGTGCATCTTGCACCTTCGTGGCTCGGACAACTCGAGAAGAAGCTGCACAGCATGAAACCCCACCGTAGTTTCCGTCTCTTCTTGACCATGGAGACCAATCCCAAGGTTCCTGTAAATCTTTTGCGCATGTCCCGTATTCTTATGTTCGAACCTCCTCCGGGAATCAAGGCTAACTTGCAAGAATCTCTTCGCAGTATTCCTCCTTCGCGTCTCTCTCGGGGTCCTACCGAAAGAGCCCGCCTTTACTTTATGCTGGCCTGGCTTCACGCTGTGGTACAAGAGCGTCTGCGCTATGTTCCATTGGGTTGGACCAAGGTGTATGAATTCAACGATTCTGATCAGGATTGCGGTCTGAATACCATTGACAACTGGCTCGAAAGTGCAGCTGGAGGAAGAGCCAATATTTCTCCGGACAAGATTCCATGGGACGCCATTCGTTCTCTTCTTAAACAAAGTATTTATGGTGGACGTATTGATAACGAATATGATCAACGTTTGTTGGACTCCTTTGTCAACACTTTGTTCAGCCATCGTTGTTATGATCTCGACTTTGAGGTTGTTAAAGCCAGTGGAGAAGACGAAGAATCTCTTGTTGTACCAGAAGGTACCAAGATGGAACACTTCATGGACTGGGTTAACAAGCTGCCTGATCGTGAGCCCCCAACCTGGCTTGGTTTACCCGGAAATGCCGAGCGTGTGCTGTTGACCCTTAAGGGTAACACTTTGCTGTCCAAGGTCCGCAAGATGAAGAGCACCAGCGATGACGACGAAGTGGCCTTCACTCAGGATACTTCTTCTCAGTCAACCAACTCTCAACAACCTGCTTGGATGCGTACACTTCATACTTCTATTTCTGGTTGGTTGAGCGTTCTGCCCGAGAACATCCGTGTTTTGCAACGCGACACTACTGGTATCATGAACCCTCTATTCCGTTTCTTCGAGCGTGAAAACCAGATTGGTCGTAGCTTGTTGCGTACTATCCGCGAAGATCTTTTGTCACTCCAAAAGGTGTGCAGCGGTGAACTTAAGCAAACCAATCATTTGCGTCAATTGATGGACTGGCTCAATAAGGGTCTGATTCCAGACCACTGGAAACGATACAAGGTCCCCAAGAATATTTCCCTGAATGTTTGGATAGCTGATCTTAAGTTGCGTCTGGCCCAAGTTGAAGGTATTGCTCAGGAACCCTCGTTCGATAAGTGTGAAGTTTGGATCGGAGGACTGTTCATCCCTGAGGCCTATGTTACGGCCACGCGACAAGCTACTGCTCAACGCAATAAGTGGTCCCTTGAAGAGCTTGTATTAGAGGTTGATATTGGTCAGAGACTTGAGTCGAACGCAAATCTGGGAGAGTACATTGTCCGTGGAATGCGTATGGAAGGTGGTGAATGGCGTGGTGATGAAGTTTGCTTGACATCAGAAGCCAGTACCAAATTGCCCAAGACTCAGTTGCGATGGATTAAGAATGTGAAGAAGGATACAAGTGGACTGGTTTCTCTACCTGTGTACTTGAATGCCGACAGATCAGATCTTTTGTTTACAATCAATGTAAAGGCTAATGCAGAGGAGAAGGATAGAATTCCCCAGAGAGCTGTTGCCCTTGTTATTTCATTCTAGTACAAATGAATATTTAAAATCTCGGCAATCTTTGTAATTGCATAGTAAATAAAGAGACATATTCTTGAAAATAATTTATTTATTTATTGGCTGTAAATATATATATGCCAAAACGTATTGATCGGCATATTGCAGAAAAAGATTTGCTTGGAAAATATATTACTTAGATACGGTGTTACTATTGGCATGTGTGTACATTGCAAACAAAATATTTTAAACTATTATTATATCAGTAGTAAAATATTGGTATACTATGTAATATATCCACTATTCTACTTTGAAGAATTGTTTATTAAAAAAGAATCATTTTGATCGAAATAACAAAATAACTCCAAAAAATCAGCTTAAAGTCAAAACGGGTTAAGAGAAGTGTTTCTTTACACTTATTTAGTCTGGTGCAGTACATTAATATCCACCATTTCAACTTTGTTTGACAAGGATTGCTTAAATGTTGATCAAATAATCCTATTTTTTCCACTCTAAAAAAACCATTTACTAATGAAAAGTGGCTATTTCCACCAACAAAATACATTTTAATGCCAATTTTTTCTCAGAGCATGCACCTTCAAAAAAATTGAAAACTTTTTTATTTTTTCTACTAAGTAAAGCTTTGTATAAAGTAAGTTAATGACGTCCAGCTTTTGTTTGACCAGCAACAGACAAATATTCATGGATATACTGCTAGATTTAAAAATGACAATATCGGTATTTCCACCACTATATGGTGTGTTTTAAATGTCCGGCAGTAAAGATATGTGCCTCAAAAGTACTCGCCACTGTGCGATGACAGGTTTTGTAATAATTGACTGTATGATGTGTATTTCTAATATTATATAAGCCCGTACTGATAGTTATCTGAATTTTTATGCTTTTTCCAAATAAAAAACAAAAATCCTTTAGACTTTCCATTCTATTTTTTTTGTCTAATTTTAAGGCCTTGTTCAGCAGAATTTCAAAAAATTAAAGACTGTTGAAGTAGACCTTTGATGGAAATCTATATCAGAGTTTAATACCACATTATGTTTCTATTATATCAAAGCGTTTAATGTATAATAAGAACGTTTCTCCTAAATAGCTACTAGCTTATATTAGTGTTTATTGTACATTGTAATAATTGTATCTTGATCCACCTACAAACTGTCTAGCACTACCAATAGTTTTTGTGCATTTTAAGCGCATTGAGCACTGATTACACGTGACTTAACCAATGACGTGCAGAGGTACTAGTCAGAGTGGACGCGTCACTTTATACTTGAGAGTGAAGAGAGAAAGGGGGGAGAACTTCCTTATCCTTATCCCGCGATCACTTTTTTTAACCTACAATGGATCGCATTCACCGTTTATTTGGATCAACTGGCGCCGGAATGGGACAGGTACCACTGATTGATCTCACCTTAAAGGCATCCTGGCCAGGGCACCATATAACCAATACTCGTTTTTTGAAATTTCTGTTCAGGGCATGCAGCCTGCCACAGATTCACCCACCGTCGATAATGCTGAGATGGTGTACATCTCTTCGCTTGCACTATTGAAGGTAGACAGAATACTACGACCTCACAGAATTTTTGTCTAACCAACACAATTGTCCTATTACATGCATAGATGCTTAAGCATGGTAAGAATCTGGACTATAGGGATACTATAATTGCACAGAGTTTTAGGATTCGGCATTGAGCTAGAGGTGTATGCATGTGTGTTTTTAGGTCGTGCTGGTGTTCCTATGGAGGTTATGGGTTTGATGCTTGGAGAGTTTGTTGATGATTACACTGTACGCGTCATCGATGTTTTTGCTATGCCTCAAAGTGGAACTGGTGTCTCTGTTGAGGCCGTTGACCCAGTATTCCAGACAAAAATGTTGGATATGTTGAAGCAGACCGGAAGGTACACGACGGCTATTAAGGTAGAGGTATTCTTGGAGGTTAATTAAGTGTTTATGTTTAGACCCGAGATGGTTGTTGGCTGGTATCATTCCCATCCTGGTTTTGGATGTTGGTTGTCGAGTGTAGATATCAACACACAACAGGTAAGAAAAAATTGTGTTGTGTGATCTGTGTATATGTGTGCCTGTCATTAGATTTACTAACAATTATTTTAGAGTTTCGAGCAATTGAACCCTCGTGCCGTCGCTGTTGTCGTTGATCCAATTCAGTCCGTTAAGGGCAAGGTTGTCATTGACGCTTTCCGCCTTATCAACCCTCAGACAGTTATGCTTGGCCAAGAACCTCGTCAGACTACTTCAAACATTGGTCATCTCAACAAACCTTCTATTCAAGTAATCATATTAATGTTTAGATTATTTATTTCGTCAAAAACAAATGTACAGGGTCTAATATTTGTGAAAAATAGGCATTGATCCATGGGTTGAACAGACATTATTATTCTATTGCCATTAACTATAGAAAGAATGAGCTTGAAGAGAAGATGTTGCTGAACTTGCACAAGAAGAACTGGACTCATGGTCTTACTTTGGAAAACTTTACTGAGCATACTGAAGTTAATGAGAAGAGTGTCAAGGTAAAAATCTCTGGTAGATAAGCATTATACATAATACTTACATGCTCTTTTGTATCAACTACAGAGAATGTTGAGTTTGGCTGAATCATACAATAAGTCTGTTCAGGAAGAGCTTACAATGACACCTGAACAGCTGAAGACACGGCATGTCGGAAAGCAGGATCCTAAACGCCACTTGGAAGAAACTGTTGAGAGTGTGATGGGTAACAACATTGTCATGGCATTAGGAACAATGATTGATAGTGTCAGTTTCTAAGAGTAAAAATAAAAATATAAACTCAGAATAAACATATATCTATCATCATCATTTTTTATCCTAGAAGGACCAATAATACCAATAATATCTTTTTTTATAAAAAAAAAGTTATATGTGATTTATTTATTTACAAGTTGAATTTTTATTTTTTTATTTTTCAATACAACAACATCTGGTACGTGTAAATTTTAACCTCTTTAAACACGAAAGTATTCTTTATAAAGGAAAGGACAGGGTAGCAAATTGTGTAAAAGTATGATATTATTAGCAGTCAAATTCTGGTTTTTTTTTTATACATATAAAAAAAAATAGACTTTAATAAATAATTGCATATTATGTCTATGATGATGCTTATTAACTTTTTGTAGCTTACATATACATAACAATTATATTTTATGTGATTGGATAGAATGGAAAGAAATGGGACAGAAAAGAAGATGATTTAATATAGGACACTCTGCCAGATTGTAAAAATATAAATTGATCAGCGTAGATAAATAAGTCCAAAGTTATACAACGCCAATGATAGTAGTGTATGGCGTCTTTTTTGTTTTGTTTTGTTTTTTTTTTGTTTAAAAAGAATCTTTATCTAAAGCGTACATAAAGATTTACCTATGAAAAAATAAGTATAATTAATTAATTAATATTTGTAACTTTTAAATAATGGCTTATTTATAACTTACCACTAGTGCAGTTATTAAAAGAATACATAATACAGCGGGACCCCAGACATCGTCATAGCGACCCTCGATGCGATTGGTAATCATCCTGTGTTGAATTACATTAGTCAATTAATTATGTTTTCAATATAGCTTTTTTTTTCGTACCATGATCGTTTCTCGAAGCGGTACAAGGCGTAGGCTGCAACTGCCGTAGCCAATCCTATGAGAGCTCCGCCTACTGCACGGGAAACATGATCTCCAAAGTTCAATAAACTGAGAGCAACAGTAAGAAGTAAGGCTGAGAACTGGAGCCAGGATATAAAAGTACGCTCATTTGCAAAAAATACTTTAGGCTCCACCTTCATCTTTTTTTGTTTCTTTGGCTTTTCGCTAGAAGATTCGCTTGCTTGTGGTGCACTTGTTTCTTCCTTCGTCGGTTTTGACATGGGAAGTAAGGCTGAATATGGATCGTTTATCTTATTTAGCCATCCTTTCTTTTTACTTGCATCTGAGTGTGTGTTTAAGAGTTAGAATCAGCGTTAGACCAAGGTATTTATAATATACATATGTCTATATCGATAAACTAACCTTGATTAGCAGACTCCATTGGCATATCAACGGAAACATGGTGACGGTTATACTTTTTTTGAAATGAGCCTGCGCTTACTTGTCTACCAAGCGTACGTGCTTCAGAAGAAGTAGAAAGTAAGGTTGTGACTTGATCACTTTGATTGCTTATTTGGTCTTGCTCTACATCTATAGTTAGGTTCTGTGCCCTTTCTTTCTCTTCTATCATTGCCCGACGATAACGACCATCAATAAGAGGTTTGAAACTGCGGGATCTTGTTAAGCCTGAATTCTCTGCTCGGGGTTTTCGTATATCCACATTGAGCTCAGATAGCCACCACGGTAGCAGTGGGAGACGATCGTGATAAAAATGAGCTGCACCATGAAGGTATTTTGAGAAACGAGGGACTTCATGGACCAGGTGGGATTCCAGTAAAGAAGTGAGCCAAGCAGGTGGCTCTTGGCCGAGATGGGTTTGGAGTTTCGTTTCTAGGACTGCAAAAGGGAAACGCAAAATATCCTTTTCTGGGACATAAGAGAATGGATAGTCAATGCCAACATCGGTACGACGCCAGTTAGGACGTTGTCTCTGGCAGCTTTCAGTGTATATGTGGTCTTCTCTTATAAATGTGAGGTCAGTATCAAGCGATACTCGTACTCTCTGATCTCCCGGAAGCTGGAATGCTGTGCGATTATAAAATGCTCTGAGCATAGGCTGTATCCCCTTTTCTTTTAAAGACGTTTGTATGCCTTGTGCAATAAATTGGACATCTTTGACAGCTTCTGGATTCGTGCCTTTTCTGCGTAATTCGTTCGCTATTGAGTCTGCAGTAAGTCTTCCTAGTGTGTAATTGTTCACTTGGTTCTCTTTAAGCCTAAAACGGTCCTTGACGGAGGCACCATCAAGCCAAGGTGCATGATGTGTTTTGCGCTCAATAAAAATGTCCTGGGATTCCATAGGCCCGTACCTGATTAAAGGAGTTAAAATAAATGATAAGATGTGAAATTATCTTTATGCATCTTATGTGTTTACCATCTGTATCGTATTGCTTCTGCTCCTTCATCACGTTGAAGACGGCCAGTGTAGAGATCAAAGTTTGAGTTTTCAAAATAAATACTAGATATTGCTGAGTCTGAAGCTTCCCATTGTTTGTTCTTATCGAAGATCAACACAGGCAAGTGTAACATGATGATTGCTTTGACTTCGGTTACATTGTCAGGGTGGATCCAGTATTTTGCTGTGGCACGTTCAAATGCATTTTGGTTGCCACCTGCAGCTGAATTCCCTATATGTTTTTCTCCTCGGTTCCGACAAATATCATGAAGAGCAGATATGTATATGATTGCTACATCAAATCGTTGTTTATCAAGTGGTTTACTTCGCAAAGTCTGTACATAATCCTGCTTCAAATTTAACTGCGTCCATTTGTCGTGCTTCTTCAATATCTTTTGAATTGCGGTGAAATTTACACGTGTGAACTTTGAGAGATCATTGACGTCAAAGAGGATTTCAGTTAATGTTTCGTCCATCAAGCCATAGTTCATATCTGGGGATGCAGAGGCACTTTCTTGTAGTGCATTGATGGTGCGCTCACAGTAGAGTATACGAGCATCAATTTCTGACAATTTTGCATTGATGAAATCATAGACTTTTGTGAGTTCATTATCCAATAGACCAATAAAATCATCCTCATCCCGTCTTGTCCAGCCATGATGAGTTTGACGTGTCTTGAGTTCTTGTTTCAGCAAATCGTAGGCAATATAAGACAAACGCCATGGAGTGAAAATGTTATGCTGTAACTCGAGTCCGTATTTCATAAGCTAAGATGAAAGATGATATTGATGAGATCAAAAAGAAGTGAAGAAAGGCATGAACCATGGCTGCTTTTATAAGATTGAATTTAATATCTGTGAGGCACTTTTGATTTTCTGATTTTTTTTTTAAAGTTTTCTTTAGGCAGACTGCGCTCTATTGCAATACTGAGTGATAGAATTAGTTTAAAAAGGAGTTTGATCAGGGACTCTCTTGGCTATTTGGCTATTTGGCTTTTTTTGGGATCTTTACTATCATTCCATCACTTTATTATGGCTACGTTCTTGCTCATGTTAACGGTTCCTTGATTCAAAATAAAGGCTATCCAGAGCTATACACTGATGTTCAACGTGCCCTTGTACATCTATACACATCTATTCCCATGCTGAGCTGCATATTTCCTATATATCCAATCACAAGAAACAAATGTGGGCCATCAGACACCACGCAAACTTCTATAACAAGCTTCGTTAGAGCGCCCCTTCCTTCCCCCCCTTTACTCTCCCCCTTCTTTTATTGGGTTAGAAAGAAGCACAAAGTTGAGCTAATGGCGGCAAGAGAAAACTAGAGTAGCCCGATTGACTGTAGAGAATAAACTTGTCCAGATGTGTGAAAGAAAAGGAAAGCTTTTTGCATCTCCTGCATGTTAAAAAGAAAAGCACACACACATACATACACGCACACACCAATAATCTTTTCTTCTTCTTTTTATTATAAAACTGGCATCGTGTGTTACCTTTGTCTGATCGTGTGTGTATTGCTTTTACATATTAATAAAAGCTATAAATTAGCCTGGAAACCATTGTCTTTCTGAGAATTTTGTATAATTTGGGGTTATTTTACTTTTTATAAAACTAAGGCTTTCGTGTTTGCACGATACACATGCATAGTTTTATAATTTATTTATTTATTTATTTATACCAAAAGCACAACGTACAGTTATATAGGCTGAATTGGTCAAAAATGATTGGGTACCCTAGGAAAGTCATCAGTGGCGCCAGACGTCTTTCCCCTTTGTACCGTAAGATACAATTGACATGAAAAGGAGATTGACCACTAAATTAAAAAGCGGCCGTTTTCTCTATGCTTATCTGAATACTTGGATACCAAACAGTAATTTGATCTGGCTAAATATTAGATATAGTAGCGGACTAATATAATCATGGTTCCAGAGTATATTCGCATCAAGTTTGAACGAACTTTCCTTTTAGAAGTTGATATCACAATGCGTTTTGAGTGCCGTCTTTCTGCACGGATTCCAGTGCCTTATTCTATGGACCTAACTTTAACGAGAGTACATAATGCATGCTACATCATAATGGTGCATTTGAACGCAAAAGAGCCTGAGGAGTATTTGAATCGTGTGGCATTCTTCAATGTTAAATTTATTATTTTTGGTGAGTGAAATAACAAACAGGCAATGCTACATACACTCCTTTGGCTGATCAAGCTTGTGCTCACTGATCATTTGGCGGTCTCAAGACTATATATAAATTATCTAAGCTTACACTTTTAGAACGGTTAGGGGGGGGGGGGGGGTCCTTCTTAAATAATGTGTACATATCAAGATTGTCTGGATCTTGGTCGCAAGTATTGCATACAAGTACTCACATACATTTGCAGATAAGATGGTATTGGTATTGGTATTTGATTCAAGAATAGAGTATGTATAGATATATAGATATATATATATGCAAGTGTAGTGATTTGGGCTATTTTTATTACGAATGTTATTTTATTTTAAGAAATGATACACATCTGTATACTCACACTTCAACAAGTAATGGCTGCTTAGTGGCGTAGAAGCAGCAACATCCCAGGACTGGGATTAACCCACTGGATATGCGATATACAACCTTGTTGTAAATATGATTGTGGTTTTAATCACAAATATCTGTAATACAAAATGCCTCATAAAAAACACAAAATAATAAGAGAATTAAGTAATTCTTAGTTAACTTTTAGGCATATTTTTTTATTGTGAAAACTCTATTAAAATATGGTTTTTTAAGGCTGAGTCAAATATATAAGATTTGTATATTTAGTTTTTTGTATTCACATCAAGTATTCGTGTTCCTTTTGGTAATATTGGCACTGTTGTTATGGTAAATGGAAATGGGACCTTTATATATATATACTTTCTAACAGTTTTCTCTTTTGGTTTGCTCAAGGAACAAATGCACTCCTGACACTCAAGGCACAATTATAGACCTGAAATAATGCAAGTAAGTATCAAGGAAATTATTGCTTGTACTGTCAGATAAACCAACGGTGTTAGTGTGAGCACCGAGCCGACAATCGTGTAACCCCCTCACTTTATCCCTATGTTCTAATGAAATTTGGCACAGAATATACTAGTTTATGTATATCTTTATGCTGTAGACTGGGCAAAGATGGGTGAACAAATCTTTAATATACACATGACGTTCCAAGAATCTGATGCTCTTGTAATTTTTTTATATATAATCGAGTAGCATATCTTATGCCTGATAAGGATCCTCGATGCGGAGATAGCATGCGAGGAACTTATCACCTTCATTACGGGCAACCTTCTTTCCCTCTTCTGTGGCGTTGCGAACGTGTTCGACAACAGGATCTTGTTCCTATAATTATCTTAATGAGTCACAACTGGCCATTGGGGAGTAAATATTTCATTATTATCATTTTTCCTTACACATTCTTCATCAGAGATTCTCTTGAACAAAGGATGCTCATCCAAGTGCTTAACCATCCACTCATGAAGATCCTTTACATCGGTAATAGTGTAGAGAATACCACCTACACGGAGACTGAATGCATACTCAGCCAGCAAGGTTTGGCTGATAATACGCGCCTTATGTTTTCTAAGTTTGAAGTGAGGATCAGGGAAGAGAAAGAAAATTTTTGAAAGCTATGCAATCCGAACAGGTTAGGTCTCTGGAAATATGTGTGATTCATCCAATATCCTTCCACAATCCGTACCTGTCCTTTCTCAAAGAAATTTGGCAAGAACTTCATGGCATTCATACGAATAATTGATACATTCTGGTAAGATCCAGGCTCTTGAGTACGTAAAGCCTTGATGCGCTCAAATACATAGTCTTCTACTTTTGTACGGATCTCCATACCTATTAAACATACCAATTTCGTTTAATTTTCTAGTAATCAATATTTCTCCTCTCCCCCCTTTCTTTCAATACAATTAAATCTATAAGATCATAAGCGTTACCTAACATCAGCTTCTCGGGAAAGAGAGTAGAGAGAGCAATCAAAAGACCACCATAACCACAGCCAATATCTGCAAATTCGACTTTTTTCTGAACCTCTCCCTCTTTAGCAGGATAGAACTGGGGATAGTGCTTTGACCAGTCCATGTCCTCAGGCTTGGCAGGGCTGAAAGAAATTGTTCAAAATCGGGTTAGAAAGGAAAATAAGGTAATAGTAGTATTAATAACATTTGTATATGTCGACGTTTATCTATCTCTCTGTATGTATGTATATATTGAGACTCGGTATCTTCTGTTTCGAGACTTACTATTCCAAATGGTGATCGGAGAATGGGTTGGCATGAGCACGTTGACGGTAATACCGTTTCTATAAAGGTCAATGTTAATCAAGTAATTTTTTAATTCAGGCTTTTTGCATTTATTCTTTTGCTTACTTGGGGAAGCTTGGCCTCGAGTTCACTCATTTGTAGAAGATTGCTGTGCTGGACTTGTCTAATTCTTTTTTTTTTTTTTTCGATATTAGGTTGTGCGCATAACCAAGCCACCAATGCTTGGGCATTAACTCCGCCATTTATTTTTTAGGAATTTAATTGATAGGAGAAACTCTCTTGGGAATTCATTGACTTTGGAAGCTTCTTGGTGGACGAATTCCAGTTTCAATAGAATTTATTAATCATTGTAACTCACAACGAATAGAGTCCTAAGATTGGAAAGATCGAATTTCTTGCTAGAATTTATAGAAATAAAACATATATTGTTGAAATAAAAATATGCTAAACAGACAAAAATAAAGAGAGTTTTTGGACCTTTCGAATGATACCCAAGAATAATAGAACACAAATACATAGTATCTTCTTCTTCTTTACTTGTGGAAGTTATAAATCTCTACGCCTTCTATGCCAGTGACGGGAAATTCAAAGATTTGACCATAGAACCACTGTTCAAGTTCCTTTGTGCGCTTAATGTTCTCTGCAAGACGGAAACCTATTTATGACATTGTGATAGCTTAGCACCTGTATTTCTTTTGGGAATCCAATTGTTTCTAAACTTACCGTGAGTCTCTCCTTGGTAAAGAACATAAGCGACAGGTATTCCTTTCTTTTTAAGTGCCTCTACCATGACCTCTGACTGCGAGGGAGGGACAACCTTATCTTCAGAACCTTGGAAGAAAATAACAGGGCATTTGATATTATCAGCTGAAAAAAGTGGAGAGCTACAGGAATTTCATAACGGATTAATAACTGGGCTGTATGATGTTTATTCTGCTTGCTAGTATTATTATTAGTATTGACTCGTGTAAAGCTTACCGCTCTTCGTATATAGCCTTATCTTTGGGATACTCGCCGATCAATTGATCTATAGATACAATGTATTCAATAAATCACAAGATATATATATCTATATATTTGTGTGTGTATTCAAAAAAAGTCATAATTAATTTACCAGGATATCTCGACTCAAATTTATGAGTTTCTTTGGCCAACAAGGTGATATCAGAGATGCCGTACATACAGCATCCTGCTTTGAATACATCACGGAAAGCAACACTTGCGCTATCAACAGATAACAATATATCACTTGTCTTGCTTCCATCTATCTTTCTTTGCATGTTTTACTTACAGTGTCGTGAACCCGCCGGCACTGCTGCCTACGATGGCCAGTTTCTCTTGATCCACAAAACCTTCCTTGGCCAGATAAAGGGCTGCATTGCAGCAATCATCAACATCAACGACACCCCATTGCTTCTTCAGGCGATTACGATATTCTCTACCATATCCAGAGCTACCACCATAGTTTACATCCGCAATGGCAAAACCACGTGTAGTCCAATACTGTATATCTCTGGAATAAGAGTTGGGGGAATAGGCGGTTGGACCACCATGTGACAGTACTCTCAGTGGAGGCTTCCCTTCGCCAGTGTACTCTGGGTTCTTGGGCTCATAGAAATAACAGTAGGCTTCCTTGTTGTCGGTAGTCAAAAAGGTGATTTCTTTTCCAACCGAGATGTAGTCTGCGTCAAGCTTAGGCGCAGATGATTCTTTCAGAACATGGAGTAAGAATTGATCAACGATAGAGTAAGATATCAGCTGGCTGGGCTGCATAGGAGAAGCAGCATTTACCACAACATATTCCTGAGATTCTACGCTGTAGGTGCGAATCTGATTGAAGTGAGTGAATTCGAGAGGCAGGTCAGTCAATGTCTTTTCGGATGTGTTTAGCACTGCAAGGCTCTTCTTGTTGATGCACAAGAGCTTGGTAGGATCTGAACTAAAAGGGGTATAAAAGGAGTTGTTGAATCTCCATGGCGCATCAGCAAAATCTTGGGAAAGAGGTTCTGGTAGCAAAAGTTCGACGCTATCATTATGATAACGATATAGATTCCAAAATCCTGAGCGGTCAGAGACAAAGTATAGAACATTGTCAATACCAAATTCAGGTTGCTAGTAATTGTTATTATTATTTATAAAAAAAAAGAGTATGTAAGTCTAATATATATATATATATATATTTACACGCGTATCTAAGAATATCGACTTACCACAATGCTCTCGCCCACTGTTTCACCAGCCACTGTTTTGGTTGATGACAAAGAAATCTCTCCTTCACTATAAGAAATCTTGGCAGTGTGCAGACGGGTGAAGTCCCAGGGCATATAGGGATGGACCCAGTCAACATATGCAAGTGTAGTACCATCTGGAGAGATACGAGGAGTTGAGTAAAAGTCGGAACCCTTTTCGATAACCTTGACAGCCTTTGAAAGGTCCTTTTCCTCCAGGTTTATGGCAACGAGTGTGTTCACGACATCCTTGGGTTCTTCGTTCTCAAAGTGTTCCTCTCTTACACACACCAAATAGCGGAGTTTTTCGTCGATGACCATATCAGCGTAACGGAATGACTTTGACTCGGGAGTAATGGCGACAATGGAGTCTGGAGCATTGACAAGATCAATCTTATACAACTGGCAGTCAGAGTCGTTGGAAAAAATCAAGAGTCCATTCTTGACCTTCAAGGCACCTTGTCCATATTCATGAACGCGTGTGCGGCAGTTGTATCCCGGAGGTAAGAGTGCTTTTGGGGGTGCCGAGACGTCAAGTGGTCTCTGGAAGATTTGAGTGCGTCCTTGCTCAGCAGACATAACCTGGCACCAGAATACAGATCCAGTGGTCTGGTCGACGCAGACATCGACAACAGGCGATACAGAAGCGAGAGATTCTGCAGTGATAGGGGAAGGCCAGGCGCCAAAAGGTTTTACTTGGACCATTATGAAGAAGAGTGAAGAGTGAATACTTTTGACGATTTGTTTTTTTTTACCACGCTCCTTTTGTGGTATTTTCATCCTTTTTCGGGATTGAGGCTCCGGTTGACAATTGAGTAAATCAGGGCAAGCCAGGCAGTAATCATCTTCGCTCTCACACTTTCACTAGCTCAGCCCATTTCATTTCATTTCATTTGTTAAATAAAGAATAAACGGGTATATCATCACAAGAACTTTACTATATATGCGTCTTAAGAATACAATTGGCTATAATTAAATTTAATTACAGTGTGAATTCGAGCTTTTAGTTGAAACGCATGGCTATAAAAAATAAGAAAAGAGGCGTATCTGACTTGAATGTATGTATATCTTCAACCTAAGCAACTGTCAACCACCTGTAGTTTTAAATAGCAGGATCTTTTACGGGAATCTTTGTCCGGATTTTAGTAAGTCGGGCAATTACTTGATGATAAATGTCAAAATATATATTATTGGACTTGAAATGTCTCTGCTATCTTATTGTCTGGAACTCTTAATGAGCAAGTTAAAGTGTGTAAACTACAATACTAAATTTGTATCTGAACATGGGACTTTTGTGTGCACAATTGAGGTCGTATTTAATATATATATATATATATATATATCGTTGTAACTGAACAGATTGAAAGAAAACAAACTGCATGCTTCACTCAGTAAAACAGCTCCTCTTTATCTGCATCACTCCAAAGTTGTCCTAAATTTTGCTGTCTTTACAATGGTTAATCATTTAGCTCAGCTAAAGCAATGTATAGCCATATGCTCTAGACTGCGAAAGATGATATAAATTTTCTCTTTTTACAATTTTTTTTCAAGGCTCTGTTACAGATGTATTGTCTTTGCCCAAATCTTCTTAGAAATGACATTGGCTCTATCTCTTTATTATTGAATAAGGGTCTATATACGCGTAAATAAGGATGTGTTGTTCTCTGGAATAGAAATAAAGTGCCAGTGCTTTTGTTTCAACCTAAAAATGTGTGTGTGTATATTATTGAGTTTATCCAAATCACTTGTACTCGATCTCCTATGGTATCTAGTAGATTAAAGCATGTAAATGTTATTATTATTTTAGTTTTCTCATCAGATTGTTAAAGATGGTGTTTTATATGGGGGGTAACTTTTTTTCTTGATAGATATAAATAAATGGCTGTCGATCGTTCCAAATCTAAGATGTTCTTGTAGGTGGTTAAAGTACCTTTTTTTTCTGTATAGTATCTAGGTAAGCTATTATGCAACCTATCCCTCGAGGGGTCGAGGGTTCTAGTGATTTTCATAGAAACATAAAGTGTTTTCTAACTTTGAATTATAGTGATAAAGAGATACAAGTCGGTACAGCTATATAACCAAATGATTTCTTTTTTAGATTAAGTATATTATTTATCTATTTTTCTTAATAATAATACTAAGAGAGAAAAAAAGGTTGAAAAAATGCTGTACAATAAAGGAGTAGACAAAGTAGATGCAACACCAAACTAGTCTTTCAGGCTCAGGAGAGCAGCATCGTCCATTCTCCCCCTCCCCTTCACTTGGTCCTTCTTTTCTCGTATGGTCATGCAATTGGTGGCATAAGGCCTGCTTCTTAATTTTTTTGATTGTATATTCAATATTCTACGGTATGTTGACTCAAACCTTTGCCTTTCTTTTATATTTATCCTAAAATGCAATATCACAATTCATCGAGCTCCCATCAGCCTGATCACTTCTTGGATGAAGTACAATACGCGCCACATATACATCAAGAGAAGGAACAAGGCAAGTTATATGAGTGCTAGGATGTGTGTCATATATATGTATATAAAAAGAGAGAGAAAATACATTTTATTATTATTATGTAACTGATTGCTTATTATTATTATTTTAGTGAACTGTGAATGCGCCTATCAGCAAACATCTGCTTCGAATACCATCGGATTTCAGGCTTATAACGGGGGAAACGGAAATTATACACCAACTGGAGAGAATGATGATGTTTATATAAATGGAGTAAACATTGACCAACCTTGCCATTGCCAGCAGTATTATGAAACAGGCGAATCGGAACACAGCTTCCCACAGCCACACCCATATTATCCTGAATACTCGGTTGAATATGATTATGCTCAAGCTGAGATATGTGTTGAAGAGATCACTTCTCGCTCAGGAAAACACCGACATCACCATCATCATCACAGCAATCATAGTAGAGGGAGTCGCACAAGATCATCTCCGTCAAAGCATCCCTCTACACCAACTGAAAAGTCCTTAACGAACAAAAGCGACTATGAGAGCAATGGATCTCCACACCCTTCCTCTGATACGGTTTCGATGTCTCAGAAAAGCAAACATACCATCAAGAAGAGAAAATGCTGTCGTGGAGCAAGAGCATCTCGTATTTGTGTGATATTCACTTTTATCTTTTTCATCCTTGGTGCAATTGCCGCGTTCTTTTGCTGGCCAAGAACACCTCTTGTCTCAATGGGCAGCGCTATCGAGAGTGGAGATGATCCTGTCAGTTGGGGAACAGATCAGCATCCTCTTCTTCACTCGTCCTGGCTGGTGAATGTTACTTTTGATAATAGTCAGAACTGGATCCCTACCCACATTACCGGGCTTGATTTTTATATGAAAGACAGTCTGACGCTGCGTCAATTTGGATGGGGAACACAAGGCCCAATGGTCTTTGCACCACGCAAGATCATATCTCAACAGCTCAGACTTACAGTGGAATACTCGGCTTCTTCAACAACAGACCCGACCTTTCAGAATCTCTACAGGGCTTGTGGGCCACAAAAGAAAGGGGATCCGCCCTCACTTAATGTGGTTCTTCATGTAAGTTGAAAAAAAAAATTGCTGAGGAAAAGGAGGAACTTCTTTATTAAACTCCACTGTGTCGCATTGCATCGCATTGTATTGCATTTTGCTCTTTTGTTTCTGTTTTTGTTTTTTTTTTTTTTTTTACAAAGATGGCTTTTCATTTCTGGGGGATTATGTGGGTGCCAACTGTTGCCATTACACCGCCCACTGGAGGGTTTATATGCCCTCTTAATTAAAAAATAGATCCAAACTAGCAGAGCAAGTCTCTGCGTAAATACAACCATAGAAAATAATAAGATTCTATGAATAATTTTCCTTTTGTTTTCTTATTTAATTATTCTTTAAAAAAAAAGTCCCTAATACTATTTGTAGCAATGTATTCTCCCCTTTTATAATAATAGTCATAATGATAATGATAATGATAATATTAATATTAATATTAATAATAATAATAATAAAGAATCTTAGGTGCTCTTGTAAAATCCTTAAGTATAAAATATTTTGAGAGTTACATCTGTGTCTAATTTCATTCAAAGGGCAAGTAAACATATTAACCTGAAATGATCCAAAAATGAATTGTACTTCTTTGTACCGATTAATCCCGAGTTACTGGATTCAGTTCTTATAAGCGGAGTTTATACGCTTCTTTTTTTGTTTGTTTGATGAAAACATCAATGAAACCTAATTGGTCTTTCACTGTAAGAAATGGTAATATTTAAAGTACCGACATTGTGACTTTTTGTATCCAATAGTTGTTCGGTATTTAGGATTTAGTGTTACAATAGATTTCAATGTCCTTATTGGAAAATTACAAAGACTCAAATTCATTAAAAAAAAAAAAGAATATCAGTACAAAACCATCATAAATTCCGCAGAGCTGTGTTTCGCTACTACATAATTGGACTGTGGTTCCGTATAAGTATCTTTACATCACACCAGGTCCAATGGCTCACGTCAATAAGTCAATTAGTTTCAGGATTTAACGGTCTATACATTTTCTCCGTGGAAAGGGCGATCCACGAGGAATTTTATATTGATCTCGATGTCATGTACTGTTTTTACTGTTTATAACTTGGCTCACAATCAAGAATACATATCTGCGTTTACTTTAGTGGGAAAGATATCTTCACGATTCCTACAAGACTTTGCTCTTCCATTCCTCTTAAAAGTACCTGCAAACTTTGAGTTTGTCGTGGAATCTTTTAACATATTGGGTGAAACAAGGCCTCAAATGGCGACATCGCAATCGTGGTCGACATTGAGATTTTTTTTTCTGGAAAGTTGAGAAGTGTCTTGGGAGAACCCGAATACGCGTCTCCAGCAACTGGCCAACAAAAGCCAATTTTTAAGTAATTCCAGGCAAAGTCAGTGCAATCGTTACATCCGCGAATCAAAGGATCAAGAAAAATGTACTTAATCGCGTACAAACCTTGTACAATGATCATTAAATTGTATATAATAAAAAGGAAAGACTATTTTTGATGAGATTCTTGTGATGAAAGGATGTTCTTATTTTTAAAAAAAAAATTGGTTTTGTTTAATGGCATCTATTTGTTGAGACACTAGCCAAGATATTTCGCAGAATGAGGAACAACGTCTTTGAAAACATTTTAGTATAAGCTGTCGTATACCTCACTAGTACCTATCATTAGCAATTCTTTTTCTATGAAACTATTTTGTTTAACTTTACTCTTAACCACTAAGTAGAATTGTTCAAGCGGGTTCAATCCTGATAGATATAGCGGAAGATATACATGGGTTTATCCTCGAGATCAAATATATCTTCCCATGTCATTTGAGCTATGAATATGAGTATTGTCTATGACAAGGTGATGTCCCTCCATTTCTTGATACTTTTTACTTTTAATCAAGAGTAGCTTGTCAAAATCTTAGACAATGTCCTGTTACTGCTCATATGCTATAAGCATCAGGCTCCCACCCAAGCTGTCTCCTTTTGACACATTTTAAAATTCGCAAACTAACATTAATTAAGCTTTCTACCACTTCAATTGATACAGCAGAAGGATTCTCATCAATATAATTTAAAATAAATTTATTATGCTTCTCGTCGACAATAAGATCCCTCGGCTCAACCCCATTCTCATCGACAACATCACCTTGCCCATCTTCATAAAAAAAATTACATATTCATTTGAACGCTTATAAAACTTAGTAGATATCAGGAAGAAGAAAGAAATAAGGAAAATGGAACTACCATTACCATTTATGCAACTAAAATACCAAGAATACCATTGGGCAATTACTAGGCGACATGTAAAAATAAACAAGGTTCATCCAATCCAAATACGACTTTATTCTTGGATCGTGGGACACCATTGTTGAACTCAGTAATTTTTTTTTGCACAACATAAAATTCAAGACCCGTGTCTTTTACTTCTTGAAATTACTATATATATATAAATATATATAAATATATATTTTAATATTTTTTCTATATTAGAAACATACTTTAAAGAAGACGTTCGGATATATATATATAAATAAAGGTCGTACAATCGTATGATATAATGAGGTATGTCTTTCATATGTTATTGTTTTAAAGAGGGCATTTTATTCATGACATTGATTTACTATAGAAAACAGGGGAATTTCACCAGAATATATGCTGATTGCAACTTATTTTGTTGAATTATGAATGATTATTATTTATTAACCTGTTTTTCATTACTTACAAATCTCAACACACATACACCCTTTAACCTTATTTTTTTTTTAGATCTTTCGATGAATTTGGTGCGCTATAGTCTCTTCTTTATTTAAAGCATCCCCTTCCTTTCATGTTTAAGCTTCTTATAAGTATATGTATGTATTCTACTTTGAACAAACATACGCACATGTACACACACACACACACACACACACACACTATAGTGAATGGAATACATATATATATATAACTAATTTACAAAGGAGAAAATAAATTGTGAATGTGACACACTCAATGTCCTTGTGCCAGCCTATCGAATGAGGCCATTTAAAGTTCTGGCCTTGGTAGGAATAGTCGATGGAAGGTAATAAACCGGGGGTGAAATTTAGGTACTGTTAGCCAAGGGATAATAAAATCTGCAATCCTTCTATACTCAACTACCACTCTTTTCGTCACAGGGTCAAGCAATACATAACCAGGGCAATCCCAACTGATTTGTCAACAAAATACGTTTTGACAGCTTGTTCCTTTGAAAAGAGAGAAAGAGAGGATCTTTCCGATTATAAATACAGATATAGAAAAAAGGACCATTCGTTATTGGTCTTCTCAATTGTAAGGGTCACGTGGACCATTGTCGAACTTGGGGAAGATCGAAGTGGAGCAACAGATGAATCATCTTGCTCTAGCTTTCCTTCTTATTTCTAAATAAGGAACGCCCTCGTTCGCAAAGTGCAAGAGTAGCACGGTCCACCATTTGCCTTTTTCTACCCCAGCTTTCTTTTATTTAGCATCCTTTGAGACCTACAGACTACTCCTCGCTTTGCGCACCTAGCCATTCACTTTTTTTTTTGTAGGTAAACAAAAGAATGTTGTATTTTGAGAAAAAGAAAGCCCAAGAAAACTTGGCTTCCTTTTTTTTTATTTTATTTCATTTCATTTCATTTCAATCGGATGCTTACAAGCCAAAATTCTACCTTTTCTCTTATTCTTCTTCTTTTCATTACAGACAAAAGAAAACCGCATTTCTTTAGTAGAAACTTGTATACAATTATATATAATCATCAGCTTTCACACATCGTTCCTCTGATCATCGTCCCCTTGGAAAATGAAAAAAAATCAATCTTCACGGTTATCAGAAGATAGCAACAGTCATGAACTCGAATCTGGAGTGGACACTCTTAGTCTATCAGATCAGTCCACTAATCATAGCGAACCCCTAGCACGTGCTCCATATCCACTCAAAGTCTCTAGACGCCATTCACGAATGCTTTATGCGGAAAAGTATGGATTAACAACACCAGGCTGGAATGAAGAACACACCAATGAGACCGAAACCGAGAGCCAGATCCAGGACAATACCGATTACGATGAAGACGACTACTACGACGACGACAATAACAAAAACAATAATAATAACAACAACAACAACAACAACAACAAAAACGATGGAAATATAAAAAAGTTTACAGACGAAGACGAAGACGACAGACCACTTTCGTATAGTCCCGTGCCTACCCGCACCCCACCTCTTCAATCAGCTCGTTCTTCGGCTGTGTCGTTACAAGGTGGAGTCTCCCAGCCTATTGCTGTCCGAAATTTATCTATTCAATCAAACTCTGTTCGACCAGCTCGTTTCATCAAGCCGTCTCCACAAAACAACCCAAAGGCACTATCAATCCCCAAAGACATGCAGTCAGTTCATCGTCTGAACGAATTTTATCATCAAAAAGTTTATATGGAAGGCTATCTATCCAAACGTGATGACAGAGCCTCAGATGGAAAACTATATGGTGGCCGAGAATGGGCTCGCTGGTATGTTGAACTCTGCGGACCTGTGCTCACCTTGTGGGACGCCACCCTTGAAGATAAAAATGAGAGTGTTCTGCCACACTACATCAACATCACTGACGCGTCCGTCGAAATTCTCGGGGATATGCCTGAAGAACGGCCTATGCGCCTTCATGTGTTTGCACTTACTTCGGCTGGTGCCAATCGTTATTTGCTCCAAGCTGTAAACGAGAGGGCACTTGTCATGTGGGCATGCGCGATCCGATTGTCGTGTTTTGAATGTTCCAAGATCCAGGAAATATACACCAGGCGTTTTCTTGTCCGCCCTCAGTTTTCCGAAGTCATGGCCAAGAAAACTTCGAAAATGGAAGGTTATCTACAGGTGCGGTTTATGGGTGCAACTGAATGGCAGAAGTTCTGGACGACTGTTTCAGACACCCGTGTAGAGAAGACACTCTTTGGAAAGAAATATATCCCTTCCCGTGGCCAAGTCTCCTTTTACGAAACCAAAAAATCAAAGTTTCCTGTGATGTGCATTGTAAACGTTGTGCAAGCCTACAACATATATCCAGAATCGCCAAAATTAATTGACGTGGCTACCATATTAAAGCTCGAGGGTGCTATGTATCTTGTAAAACCCAAAGGGGAGCAAAAGCTCGTTAATTCTGCTGCCGGTGTTCATTTGATGGCCTCAAGTTCAAAGGAATTGGCCCAGTGGTTGGTGGGTATCTTTGATGCCTTTAAGCTTTACGGGAGACCCCTGCGACTCCTTGACGACCA